CAGGTCTTGTAATCTCATGAATTCCTGAAGAATGGACCACAAGAGTTCTTTCTCACACTGTGGGCTAATACACTGGACTGCAAAGCCAGTTTGAACCACAGATTGGCGGTGCAAACTCACCAGTCACTCCTCGGAAACCCTATACAGGGTCCCTATAAGTTGGATAAGGAGCTCTGATAGTGTAGTGGTTACAAATCAGGCTGCTAACCTCAGGGTCAGCAGTTCGAAACTACCAGCTGTTCCACGGGAGAAAGATGTGGCTTTCTGCTCCCATAAAGATTTACAGCCTCGGAAACCCTGTGCAGGGTCGCTATGGGTCGGAACCAACTCCACGGCACCTAACAACAACAACAAGTCAGAAGCAACTCGATGGCACTTTAAATACAAGAACAACAACAAAAAGGTTTAAAAGGTAGATCATCCTTGAGATATGACCAGCTACAGGAGGTTCCTCTGATAGACAAAAGAAGAAATCCCCTGTTATTCCAAGGGGAGGCTAGAATTTCTGTTCCAGTCACCTAACTCTTTGAGGTCGTGATCCCACAGGCTGTTCTTTGTCGAGGTGTGCTGTTTTCATTGACCTCTCTTTTCTGAATATATGTTACACCTGAATTGCGGCAAGTTGACTAAAATAAAGCACACATATAAGGCTCAGCAGTCTGCTGGGCTTCCTTGGAGGGGACAAGGAAGAAACCTACTGACCCCACGAGGTCACTGGGCAGAACATTTGGTGAGACAGTGCCCGGCACACAATGGGTGCTCAATAAACATTTTTCAAGTGAATATATAAATGGATTGAATGTGGCCTCTGCTCATTCAATCCAAACAATTCATGCCCAAAAAAGGAAAGGAATCCTCCAAGAATGTTCAGGTTTCCTTTTCTTTATGTTCCTTTATATCTGGGGGCCGTTGTGATTGTCTTTGCAACAGTGGGCCTCACACTCAATGATGTGTCTGCCTGTGGAAGGTGGCCCGGCCCTAGCTTACTCCCATCATTTTATTTTCATGTTACCACCAAGAGTCAAAGAAGGAAGAGATAAGACTTTTTTTTTTTTTTTTTAAATAAAGTGATTTACCAAAGACCTTTAAAAAATACCAATTGCAGAAGGAAGGAAGAAACTTTTTAGATGGTCTCTCCCCACCCCATTTCTGTGATTTCATGATCTCACATTGGCCCTGGATTTACGATACTTCGTGCCTTTTCACAGTGCGTGATACGGCAGACGGATTGAAGAGACCATATGCTTGCCGATGCCCTTCTAGAAAATTGTAAATGTGACATTTCACGAGGAAACGACAGTTCCAGAGTCGAGTTCTAATGACAATCTTAAAGGTCGGTTTGAAACTGGTGGAGGGTCCCATTCCCTCTTTGTAAATGGTCACTCCATGAGAGGGCAGGGTGGAGAATTCAGCCACATCAACAAGGCACTTAGCTTAGTGCAGGGAACTTAGCAAAGTGTCCACAAACACTGGTTCTTTCCTTTTTTCTGTTTATTGTCAATGTGGTTCACATTTGCCTTTATAAATTACATATTTGTAATTTCCAAATTCCTAGGAAACTAGCATAGCTGGGGTTGGCATCTCCGTTTCACAGAGGAGAGAAAGCAGGCTCAGAGAGTGGTCTACTGGCACCTTAATGCAGCAGTGATAAAAACAACCCAGATCCAGCCTTAAGATTGCAACATGCCATTCATAACTTTAAGTCTTGTGGTGATGGAATGGTTCTGGATCTTGATTGTGGCACAAGTCCCAAAAGGCTACACATAGGCTCAGTATGCGCACTCATACACAAATATTTACGTAAAGCTAAGCTAGTGACGGAGTCCTGATGTGGCGTTGTGGGTTAATGCGCCAGACTGCAAAGCCGTTTGAACTGGAAGGTCAGCAGTTCAAGCTCACCAGCTGCTCCTCAAAAAACCTTATACAAGGTCACTATGGGTCAGAACCGACTCGAGAACACTTAACAACACCAACAACAAGCTAGTGACATCTGAGGAGCCCCTGGTGTGGTGCTGCAGGTTAATGTGCCAGACTGCAAAGCCGTTTGAACTGCAAAGTCAGCAGTTCAAGCTTACCAGCTGCTCCTTGGAAACCCTATACAGGGTCACTATGGGTCAGAACCAACTCGACAGCACTAAACAACAACAAGAAGTCACATCTAAGGACTGCTGGATACATACACGTCAGTCTCCTGAGTGTGATGTTGCACAATAGTTATGCAAGATGTTATCAGTGGGGAAAATTAGGTGAAAAAAATGTATTTCTGTACTACATTTAATTGTCAAATATAAGTTGGATGATACACAAATTTGCTAACTATTATTCCTGTGTGGTTCAAGCTCACCTGCTGCTCCTTGGAAAGCCTATACTGGGTTGCTGTGGGAAGGAACCGACTCAATGGTACTTACTTGCAACAACAACTATGTAAGGAGACTGCTGATGCATTGGCTAAGCATTTGGTTGCTAGCCGAAAGGTCAGCGGTTTGAACCCACCAGCCACTCTGCAGGAGAAAGACATGGCAGTCTGCTTCTGTAACAATTAGGGGCAGTTCTATTCTGTCCTATGGGACCACTCTGAGGCAGAATCCACTCAACGCAGGGGTTTGGATTTTTGTTTATGGTATGTCACCCCGTCAGTTTCTCATACTGTGGTGGCTTGGGTGTTGACGTAATGGCAGAAGTTATACCACTGGGAGTTCAAATACCTATGGTGGACAGGTTACTACAGAGCTACCAGATGAAGACAAAAGTGGAAAAAGAGCCGACCATCTACTTCCAAAAATTCACCAGTGAGAGCCGCGTGGACCACAACCGAAAACTGGTATATCTGATTGCATTCCAAAAGGGGTAAACGGCTAACGGAAGGCGTTGTGTTCGCGGAAGGCATTGTATTCGCGGAAGGCATTGTGTTCGGTGAACTAGTGGCCAATGAGGGCAAAAGACCCTTGGTAATACGGATTGGCACAAAAGCCACAGAATGGCCTCAAACTCACTGGTGATGATGAGAGCGACACTGATCAATATTCTGTTGTATGTAATATCTACCTATCTAAGGAGCTCTGGGAGCGTAGTGGTTATGAGTCAGGCAGCGAACCTCAAGGTCAGCAGTTCGAAACTACCAACTATTCTGTGGGAGAAAGATGAAGCTTTCTGCTCCCGTAAAGATTTACAGCCTCGGAAACCCAATGCAGGATCGCTATGAGTTGGAACTGACTCCACGGCACACAACACACAACCACAACCACCACCACCACCTACCTATCATGTGTTGGCCACCGTCAGGCTCTACAATGGTTACCCCAATTGCTCTTGACAAAATCGCCATTTACAGATGAGGAAACTGAGGCTTGGGGGTACAACTGCCCCCATGCCAACTCCCTAGTAAATAAAAGAACTGAGAGTTGGTCCAGATTCGTTTGCGCTCAGCCTTGTGGCCACCTCCCTGGCATCTTTACAAGGACCTGCAGAAAACACTTCCGCAGCGCAGTATCAACACCTCTGTAATTTGGGGTCAGGGCGAGTCTCTTGTACTTGCTCCTAATCTAGACTAGGCCTCAGGATGAATTCCATACACACACATACAAAATTGATGAGGGTTAAGAAAAGGCTTTAGGAGAAGAGTTGGAGCGGAGTGTGGGACCCTATCCAGAGAAGCAGCGACACCAGAGATGGAGGCACAGACAGTGACGTGGAGAGATGGAGCGGCTGGGGACTCTAGACTCAGGGAGGGAGAGGGGCTGTGTGCTGGCGGCCAGGTATGCCCTCTGGTTGTTGGAATGATTATATATTCCTGAGTGTTTGCATATACACCCAAACAAAAAAACAGAGGGAAAAGAAGTAAATACTGTTGAATGATGATGCACAGATGGGATTGTAATCATTGCAATGAAATGAAATACAATAGGATGAGTGTAAAACTGAAGTTCTCTCATGTAAACCATCACTCAATTCACAATAAAAACTTAAAAAACAAAAGAAATAGGCTTTACTAAGGAAACATACAAGCCAGGGTCAGCAAGAAAAGAAATGACATGTGTCCTCTGCTGTCTGGACAGTGTTCTGAGGGACGCTCAGCATGGTGACCCACCTCAGCAACAAAGGACCACACAGCCTTCCTGATGCCCAGAACTGAGTTTTTGTGCCAGCTGTTTATGGGAGGGGTCTCAACTGCCCACTCCCCAGAATCTGGAGGCCTCAGAGCCCATGGAAACTACAGTCTCTCTTATTAGGGGAAGAAATCACTTGTCCTGCAGGAATGAGCTTGGGGTGGGGCTGGGGGTGGATGGAAGGAATCTCCTTCCATTGGACAATGTAGAGGAAATGAGTCCCAGTTAGCACAATGTCTAAGCAAGCCAGATTGAGTCCCAAGGGATGTGTCCACAAAGTCTCATTCTTTGTATAAACTGCCTAATTCTTACAGCTTAAACTCTTTCTTAGCATTGAATGCCAAGAAACCATAAAACAAACATGTAGCCCACCTCTAGCAAATCTAGGGGGTACAAAGCTCTGTGTACTAACTCTACCCATCACTTTAAGTATATAAAATCCGTATTTCCTCTTGACCTTCAATTATGTTATTAACCTTTCTTATCGTATGTTTTTTAAAGCTGCATCTATCTTGCATGACAAAATAAGACAATAACTAAAGGAGCAGACAAAACCAACATGCCTATAGTTCACTCTGGTAGCGTAGTGGTTACGAATCAGGCTGCAAACCGCAAGGTCAGCAGTTCAGAACTACCTGCTGTTCCGCGGGAGAAAGATGAGGCTTTCTGCTCCCGTAAAGATTTACAGCCTCAGAAACCCTGTGCAGGGAACCGACTCCACGGCGCACAACAACAACAACAACCAGAGAATACACAGATTCCCTGTTAGGGCCAAAATAACAGTAACTATTTCTTCAACCACAAACTGTATCCCATTCCCAAAGACGTCCGGTGAGTCCCAGCAGGCTTTGGTTTCCAATGCTCTGGAGCTGGGGCAGGTACAGAGACTCTCACCTGCACTTCTGAGTCGGCGTCCACATGCTGCAGTTGGAACCAGGTGTCTCTGTTGTGGTATTTCTGCAGGTCTTCCTTCTGAATGGCCACTTTCCCTAAACACACAAGGCAAAGGGAAAGCACTTGAAGAGAGCGAATGAATCCACCAGTCCCAATGTGCTTTAAAGACAGAAAAAGTCACTTGATTATTTTATCACAGTCAATGATTTAAAAAAGCATAATTCAAAAGAGATGCATCAGGTAAACCGATGGCTGTGAGTCACTTTGCTCCCAGTAAGATAAACATAGGCACACTCATTTTATTTACTTAATGCGGTTTGGGGGAATGTTTACAGAGCAAATTTGTTTTCTATTCAGCAATTTATACACATGTGAATTTCATTTTAAAGGACAAGCACCTCACATCTTCACATTTTGTACATGGCTCTGACTGGTGGTCAGCTGGCATACTTGGACTCAGGACAGGCAGCATCGGTGTGACAGGAACAGACAGAGTCTGTCTGGTATAACTGATGCACTGCCGCTGTGCACCATCTAAGGTAGTTGTCACAGTTGAGTGAGAGCAATGTAGCAGGGACCAGTTGTTGTGTTCGTAGCTAGCATATATGTTGAGTCATTAAACAAATGTTTGCCAAAGCGTGACCAATGGACTACCTGCATCTGAAACATTAAGCTCATGAGTTCAAGCCAGTTAATTCTTCTTGACCAAACTTCTGTCTATCTATAAAGTAGATGCGACACACTGGGCACTTAGAGGTGTGTTGGTAAGTTACTTAAACCTAATTGACTTAGTCAACAAGTACTTTGCTCTTGCTACACAGAACCATCTGGAACAAGAACCTGCCTAGCTAGAGCTTACTGCACAATACATTAAAGCCACTGAGAGCAATCAAAATTGTCAGGTAGGAAAGCAAGAAAGGAAGACGACAGAAAGGAAGAGAGACAGACGCAGAAAACATGTGGAGAGGTCTACAGGTTGGGAAAATAAAGGTATTTTCCACTTTCAATTTCCATAGTAAGTTGTTGTTGTTGTTGTTAAGTGCCGTCAAGTAAGTTCTAACTCATAGCGACCCCGTCTGTATAGGGTTCCTGAGGATTGGATGGTGAGCTTGAACGGATGACCTTGTGGTTCAGATCGACCTTGCAGTCCAGCACATTAACCCACAGGGCCGCACCAGAAATTCAGAGAGACTCAAATTACACATTGCGTAGGATTTCCTCCCAAAAAGCATAAAACGACCAGGGTATAATGACATCCTTCAAGACTCAATCTTGTAATTCCTTCCTCTGCCTTTGTCCACAGGCTGCACTGGGGCTGGGCGGATGTGTGCCTTGCACTTCCTCCCCCTCCCCACTGCACCACAACATGCTCTTGGATTGGCATCCCATCTGATTTCTTTACTACTTGGTTCCAAAACCTTTGATCCTTTTCCAGGCACACACCCGTCACCAGGCAGCTACACCAAAGACAAGATTACTACCCTTCCTTCTCTTTTCTTTGCCAGCTATTGCCTGGCTCTTGCACAACTTTGACCCCACCCCCACCCCAATGGGAATAGAACTTTTGAGTCTCCCAGGAAATAGAACCACATAAAACAACAACAAATTTCCCAAAATTGAATTGAGCAACATGATTTCAGTGAAAAGGAATAAAGAAACCTCAGCCTCCATGACCTGTTCAGCTAGAAAATAAACTCACCCTCAGAATGCTAATGTTAAATATTTAACTTACAATAGTATTGTTTCTTCATATTTTTTAGCTAAAACTGGAAACGGGATGTATCTATAACCTATACACTATTGCTGGTCTTTCTTTTTAGAAGCATTAAACATAGTCAAAATTCAAAACCTCCAAAAGGATATAAAACCCAGCCAAGAAAAAGTTTTATCCTCTTCTCTGTCTCCTAGTTTCCCTTCTCAGAGGTAACCTTTGTGAACAGTTTCAACTTTTTCCTTGTAGAGATTGACTAACCAATTTCAGTAATATATGAATGCATTGGAGCCCTAGGATGTCGGTGCTGTGACTGCAAAGTCGTTTGAACTGTATACAAGGTCAGTGGTTCAAGCTCACCAGGCGCTCCTTGAAAACCCTATACAGGGTTGCTAGGGGCTGGAAGCAAAGGAACGGCACTTAATGATACCGATGACTGTATCTAATATGCATATTAGTGTTTCTAAATGCTATTCTGAGACAATACCCAATCTACAAACCATAAATTTGATTTAATTTTTTTCGGATGAATCAGAGTCCATGGAATGTCTATAACTTCTAGTTTCCAAATGACTACAATCTAAAGCTGTGTGACATCAAACAGATTTCTAAATCATTCTGGTCGCACCTTCTCATTTGGATGAGACACAACCGCTACCGAGGTAGAAGAAAAAACAGGTCCCATGTCTCCTCTCCTCCCCTTTCATCCCCCAGCAATGCCTGCCATCATCCCAATGGGGCAGGAAGCCAGGTAGCAAGGGAGCCTGGGAAATGTGGTTTGCAGGGATTATACAGAGCAGGAGGAGGTGGGCTAACGTCTCTGAGAGAAAAACTAGAGACACAGGGACCACTTAATACAATTCTACTTACCAAATAGCATCTAACAAACAATCATTCATTTCCTCCACTTTCATTCACTAAAACTATATGTGCTAACCAGAGCTTCTAGCCAGCATGAGAATGATCACTCTGAGTTGATGGCAGTTTCTTCAAATGGATAGAAAACGTCTCTCAATCTGTCCAGCCAACCTTACAACAGATAAAGAACTGTTTCCTCTGCTTTCCTAGAACTCTTGTAAGCAGCTCCTGAGCCCACTATTACGCTGGTGCACCTTGTTGGTATTGTTAAGTGCCCTGGGTTCTGACCCATAGCGACCCTGTATAGGGTTTCTGAAGAGCCGTTGGTGAGCTTGAACCACCGACCTTGCAGTTCAAATGGGTTTGCAGTCTGGCGCATTAACCCACAGCTCCACACCAGGACTTCGATGCACCTTACATGTCCAGGATTAATCAGCTGGAAAACTTTGATTCATGGAAGGCTCTCTTTCACTCTAAGATTCTCTGGTCCCATTAAATCTATGACCAGCAACCAAGGAATGGTCACTTTCTATCTGGAGCCCTTGTGTGATGGGTATGTTCCGTTGCTCTTCCAAGTCTACTTTGCCACCTGAGACTGACCTGTATGCTCTGCACTTGTAGCTCCCTTGCCTCTGGCTTTCAGTTGATTTTGTACATTGGGAGAAACTGATGGTAGATTCAGAGGCATAAAGTGAGGCCAGGGTATTTACTCTTGCAGCTCTCACTTGGCCAAATTACTTCACTGCCTCGGTCATGTAGGCAGCCAGGGGACCTCTCCTATAGCTACTGGATTTCAGTTACAACTCAATCCTCCTGACCGGCCATGGCTCTTCCATCCTGCTAGCTCGGATGCTACAGCAGGTCCCGCACCTACCCTGTCCATGGGCTCTTGATCAAACTCTCCTTCATGACCCTGTTGAAATGCACATCTCTTTCCTGCTACAACCCTGACTGATGTCTCTCTTGTGTCTTGACTTGACCATGTTGTGGAGGACGTGTGTTGTCCCATCAAAGAAAACCTAGAGATAAGTCTAAATGTCCTTAGGGTATATGACGCTATTAAATCAGCTGTGGATGAAATTGTGAAAAAAGAGGGTGAAAAAAGCGGTGCATCAAAGAAGCCGAAACACTAATCTTGCTTTTCTGACACAAATTTATAGCCTAGTACTGAGGTTTCTCATTCTTGGTAACAACATAATTACTAGTCATAACTTTAAATTATTACTGGGGACCCAGCCAGCCACTTATTTTATGTCTATAAAAATGATAGTGGAAAAACCGTGTAAGTCAGACAGTGCACCGACATATCCGAATTTCAAAGCCACCACGAATCACGAAACCGTGGTGGTGTTGGTTACCTTTTTTTTTTTTTCTTTAAATTTTATTTATTATGTTGCTGTTGTTGACACTATATTCAACAAAACACACACCAAACCAATTCAACAGTGTCTACATGTGCAATATAGTGATACTGAAGGCAGGTTTCAAGTTGCACATTCCCAGGCTGCTCCCTGCCTGAGTCGTTTCTCCTCCCCCATGAACCTAAACTCACTGCCCACCCCCCACCCAGGTTCCTATCTAAAGAGTTGCTGTTTTGAACTTGATCCTATTCAGATCATTCTTAAAAGAACACAGTACTCAAGGGCAGACTCTGTCTTTTTCACTAGTTAAGCTAAATCATTGTTTGGTTTTAGGAAGACTTCGGAGGTTACTTTTGGTTTAAGGTCTACATCTGATCTCAGAGCAACTGTTTCAGGAGTTCATACAACCTCCACGGCTGTAGAAAGTATTGAGCCCGAGAATATTGGAAATTCTGTTCTTCACCTCTCCCCTTTTGATCAGCTTCTATGGATGCTTAGTGGTAACTGGGTACCACCCAGTTCTTTTGATCTCATGATAAAGGAGGTCGTTTTCCATGGAGCCAATTAGCCACACATTCCATATCCACCCCCGAATCCCAACTCCCCTCCTTTCTCTGTGGTTCCAGGTACGGAGACCAGTTGTGTGTTGAGTGGCTGCTTGGGAGCATTTAAGACCCCAGACACTATGCAACGAGCTAAGCGGTAGAACAGAAGAACTCAATATACTGTGAGGCCAAGTAACTGAAATATCCCAGGAAACCATGGCCCTAACCTTCTTTAAAAATAGAAGATACATGGTCAGAATGATTAATAAACACGTCGTTTGATCATTTTGATGGGAAATTAACCCTAGAACTAACTAACTTGGTCAGGTTCTCTGATTAAATCAGATGCAAAACAATTCTTTTTTTTTTTTAAATTAAATTTTTCTTAAGGTTTCCACTCAAAAAATGATCATATGCTCTCATAAGTAACCAAATGCCTCTAATTGTGTTAACTAATATTAATACTATTATGTCCAAATTGCATTTCACCTTCAAATTTGATTTGTCCACTGTGGACATGAAATTGTTTAGGAACATAACAATCTCTGACCAAATGGCTTTACATATATACATGGGAGTCCTGGTGTGGCTCTGTGGGTAAATGTGCCAGACTGCAAAGC